CAGCCAATGGGCCAGCAGATCATTTTAAACTTTAAAAAACTCTACATCAAAGTAATGTTTCAAAGGCACTTTAATGTGACCTCAGACACTCAATTGACCCTAAGAGAGTTTTGGAAAGATCACATCAGTATCCTCAATTGCATAAGCCTTATAGGTAAGGCTTGGGAGGGAGTGACTACCAGGACTTTGAACTCTGCTTGGAGAAAATTGTGGCCAGATTGTGTCCACAAGAGGGATTTTGAAGGGTTTGGGGCTGACCCTGATGAACTATGACAGTTGTGAGATCTATTGTGGCATTGGGGAGTTCCATGGGGTTGGATGTGAGTTTGGAGGATGTGGAAGAGTTGGTGGAGGACCACAGCAAAGAGCTAACCACTGAGGAGCTGCAAGAGCTTCAGCAGGAACAGCAACAGACCACAGCTCAGAATACTGCTGCAGAGGAGGAGGAAGAGAGATGGAAGAAGTTGCCTTCTTCAGAAATTAAGGAGATTTTTGAAATGTGGGGTAAGATGGAAAGATTTATGGAGAAACATCACCCTGACAAGGCTGTTGCAAGCCATGATGGCAAGATGTACAGTGACAAAGTCTTGGCCCATTTTAGGGAAGTTTTAAAGAATCGCCAGAAACAGAGCTCTCTGAACACTTTTTTTGCGAGACAGGACTCCAGTGACTCTCAAGCTGGTCCTAGTGGCATTAAGAAACAGAGAAGAAAAGTAGCCCCAGAAAAGCACATGGTACCCAAGGTGTTGATGGAAGGGGATTCCCCTTCCAAACAGTAACTAATCCAATCTCTCTCCTCCTCCAGTCTTCCATACACTAAGAAGAATCGCCAATAAAGGTAAGTGTTATGCTGTTAAAGTTTCATTCATAATGTCCCATTGTATTGTTTACGTACATCTATATTTCATGTAAAAAAAATTTTTGTTTTAATACTTCTGGGTGTCAGGAACGGATTAATTGCATTCTTTTTTTTTTTTTTTTCAACAAGTCGGCCGTCTCCCACTGAGGCAGGGTGACCCAAAAAAGAAAGAAAATCCCCAAAAAGAAAATACTTTCATCATCATTCAACACTTTCACCACACTCACACATTATCACTGTTTTTGCAGAGGTGCTCAGAATACAACAGTTTAGAAGCATATACGTATAAAGATACACAACATATCCCTCCAAACTGCCAATATCCCAAACCCCTCCTTTAAAGTGCAGGCATTGTACTTCCCATTTCCAGGACTCAAGTCCGACTATATGAAAATAACCGGTTTCCCTGAATCCCTTCACTAAATATTACCCTGCTCACACTCCAACAGATCGTCAGGTCCCAAGTATCATTCGTCTCCATTCACTCCTATCTAACACGCTCATGCACGCATTATTTTTTATGGGGAAAATAGATTTGAAAATCGTCAATTTCGATAATAGTCACACTTCCAGGAACGGATTAATTATGAAAAATGAGGGACCACTGTATGTGACTCCCTGGCGAATCTGGGACTCTTCTCTTCCCAAGTGATGCTCTAACACAGATGGAAGTGTCAGTGAAGATCAATTTCATGGTTTTGAGAAGTGTGACCCAAAGCAATGCCCAGGATGTCAGAAGAAAGAAAGAAAGGAAGGAGAAGGAAGGAAGGGGAAGGAAAGAGAAGGGAGAAGGAGAAGGAAGGAAGGAGAAGGAAGAAAAAAAAGAAGAAATAGAAAGATAATTACTAGGAGGATGGAGGGGAAGCAAGCATCCGACCCCATTGTTTTGACAGGTGGTAGGGGGAGTGAGTAATGAGACAGTATGTCATTTTGACAGCTGCTGGACCCTGACTCAGCACATTTAGAAGTCTACACACACACACACACACACACACACACACACACACACACACACACACACACACACACACACATACAATGAAAGTGTCTAGTGACTATACATGTGAATATATATTATAGAAACCAGAAGGAAGGAAGGAAGGAAGGAAGGAAGGAAGGAAGGAAGGAAGGAAGGAAAGAATGAAGAAAGAAAGAAAGGTAGGTAGGAATGATGACACAGGAACATTTACCTAGGATAACTACCTAACACAACTGCCTGCTACTACTTTGAAGAACACTGCTCAGACCAGGTGTTTTGTCTGTGCACATACAAAAAAAAAAAAGGCCCACAAAAAAGCAGAGACACTCGTTTTATGTGTGAGAAGTGTAAAACACCATTGTGTATTAAACCATGTTTCAAAGAGTTCCACAAGCTGCAGAACTTCTAGGAACATGTCCAGTGACTGTACATTTGTATATATATTATAGAACAATAGTAATAAAAAATTTTTTGTATTATTTGTTTGTCTAAACAAGTTTTGTAAACAATATATTGATAATTATGTTTGTGCACTTATTGTGTTGTATACAACGAGTGTACATATGTACATTGCACCTTACTTTGGTCTCACAGGCCACATAAGTTATGTGAAAAAATAAAATAGTGAAAAAAAAAAACAAGAAACCTTCCAATGCAAGTACACCAAAGTTTACCGGGTGAGCGGCATTTGCCGCTGTTGCCAAACGCGGCTCATTTTCTGCCAACTTTACTCCTCTATATCTCGGTAAGTACTGATCGCAAAAAAAAAAATTTTGGGCTTAAAACAATCGGAAAATTAATCTTAACATTTTCATAAGAAATAATCATTTTTTTTTTTTAATATTCTTTGACACCAGGAGACACTTCAGGATTAGGGTTGCGACAGGCAAAGGGTTAATAATATACAGTAATCTAACCAATATGTATTATTTATATATAAATTCAATGAATTCCGGCATACATATTTTAAAAAGCCGATAGAGTAATGTACTGTAAAAAATAAATTATGTAGTATAATTACCCTAAGTTCTATATGGAATGTGCAAAATATATAGAAACACTAACATGTACTTGCTTCCAATTCTGTTTAATAAAAAAAACATGTATTTCATTGCACAAAGAAAATGTAAATACAAACAAAAAGAACAAAGTAAATGATCATAAACCACGTAAAGAAAACCGCTGACAGAGACAAAGCCAATCTTTTATATGCAAAGATAAAAAACAAAAATTAGAGAAAGATGTGAAAGGAGGAAGATAAATCAAGATGCTCACAAAATGCATAAATGATTTCAATATTAAAGTTCAGTCATAAAGAATATTTACTAAGATGAGCAATGACTGAAAAGACGGGCAGTACTAATTAAACAAGACCAATATAAGGAGAAAGGAGCAAAAATAAGGCAATGTATAGAAGAGAAAAAAAAAAGATACTAAGAAAGGAGAAAAGCAAAACAGTTTTTTTGAAGTATGAGAGACCATCCTAGCAGTAGGTGGACAAATACATGGCACTTCCAGAGTGAAGCACAGTGGTGGTGTATGTCACACTGTGCAGTACACTCTTTGTGAAGTACCATGGTGATTTTCTGTGTAATCAGTCATTCCACTGAATCTAGACAGTTTTTTTTGTCATGTTGTCAGTGTGTTATTGTGACTTTTTTTTTTGTCTACCAGAATGGAATCTTAAATTTAAAAGAAAAAAAAACAGAGAGCAAGAGAGAGAGTGAGAGAGATTGTTTCAAGCTCGGAAAAATGGCAAATGAAACTTGCAAAATGCTTCAGCCAGCATTTGGCAGTGAAGAAATAAGTTAAACAACTCAGAGCAGGACAAAAGTCAGTTTAGGATGACGAATGCTCTGGTCATCCATCAACGTCAAAAACAGATGCCAACACTGTAAAAGTGAGGAAGGCTATTTATGTACAAAGATCATCATAAGAGTATCCATGACATTGCAAGTGCTGTGGGAATTTCTTATGGATAATGTCAAGGCATTCTGACTGAAAATGAAACATGAAGTAAATGGCTGCAAAATTTTTGCCCTGCTTGCTGAGTGAAGACCAAAAAGACATTGTTTTCTAGCCAAAAACAACATGTTGGTCAGCCCCTGCACTCCCAACTCCCCCAGATCTAGCCCCCAATGACAGCTTTCTCTTTCCAAAAATAAAAATGGACCTCAAGAGGTAGTATTTTAATGACTTAGAAAATATTCAAGAAGAAATGCAGGACATGCTAGATGCCAATAGGAAATAAAAGTTCCAGAATTTTTTCAAGTGGCAGAGATGATGAGATCAGTGTATAGCTTCCCAGGAAGTGTACTTTGAAAGAGACAATTTCAACTAGGTGATGAGGAAAGCCTATATTTTTTTCACAGCAGTCCAGGAACTTTTTGATTGAACCTCATAGATAAAATTCAGACAGAACAAAGTACAGAACATTGGCAGTGGCTCAAAAAAAAAAAAAAAAAAATAACAACATGTAAAACACTGACTTATATGATAATCACTGCAACCTGCCCTACCTTACCATCATTTGACAACTGTTTCTGACCACTAAATAAGACCCCTTTTTTTCAGCTCCCTCTGTATTAGGACAGAAGCACTCATGGCAAACTGTTTCTTTTATAAATGTCCTGAACTGTCCACAAGTGCCTATGCATATCTTACCATGTCATTAAAACTGGTCTACCCTTGCCAATGCCTGCAGTGTCAAGCATTCTCTGGCCTTGACCAATAATCCAGCCTATCCTACTATCTCTATTATTGTTATATTTATGGGGAAGTGCTGATCAAGTAGAGGGGTCAAATTGTGTCTGGAGAAAGAGAGATATGGTTTCATCCTAGAAAGAGAAGGGTAGCTCATATTCCTTGGACCAAAAGCACTCCACCAGCCTCAAGCAATCCCATTAAAGGAGTATTTTTTCTAGAAGCCTAATTAATTCCTTTACAGATTTCAATAAACCTCCTGAGTTTCATCAGATACAATGTCTCCAATCTTTGCTATTTTATTAAAAAATGTACACACGTAAACATGCAGGCAGAAACACAAACACACAGGGTGAAGAACTTCTTGGTATTATACAGGAAGAAGGGGATGAAAACAGCAGGAACAAACTGAAAAGTAAAAGCCAGCTGACACATAGGTCATCACTAAACCAGACTTACATGATCCCACCAGCACTCGGAGAAGTTAGGTAACTGGTGTTCTAGTGTGTACTCCAGGATCTCAAACATGACTGAGATAACCCAGCACAGCCACCAGTCACGCAGCAACAGTGTCTTCATCCACCACCCAAAGAAATGTAGTGGCACAAATAGATCTAGCTTGTCCTGAAAAAATTTAATTATGTTCATTAATTTGAGATAAATATTATTTATTGGAAAAAAATTACTTTGGTAATAGAATTCATCACTTACATAATACATCTCTAAAAGAATGGTGGCAAGAGATACAGTGTTTGAACTCTGGAGAGAAGGGGGTGTTACATTTCAGAGGCTCATCTGAACTGTGATGTCCACACATCTCTGGTAAGACAGCTATTAATGAATAATGTTGAAAGTTTTTTCTTATTTTGGGTCACCCTACCTTAGAGAGAGACAGCCATTGCATTCAAAAATATTATTTTATCTTAAAGAAAATGTGAGCAAACAATACAGATTTTGTGAGAAGCTCAGAGCATACACAGCATTTATGAAAAACTAACTAATATTGTACTAAATCTACTAATGCTATAATATAAGTGGTTGTGGAGCAGTTTAAGCTTATGAGCTTATATTAAGTACTGTTACACATTTGACTGTGTAATATAAAAAAAAAGTCCTGGCTCCTAGAGGGTAAACAGCCTGCCTAGTTTAAGGGTATTTATATTATTTAAAATAGAAAAAGAAACCACTCCAGGGCCAGCTTGTACCTTCACATTGAATGTGGAGACAATATTAAATTTATTATAAGGAAGGACACAAAGTGAACATAGATAAGAGTAAGGTGATGAGGGTATCAAATGATTTAGATAAAGAAAAATTGGATATCACTTTGGAGAGGAGCATGGAAGAAGTGAATGTTTTCAGATATTTGGGAGTTGATGTGTCAGCAGATGGGTTTGAAGGATGAAGTTAACCATAGAATTGATGAGGGAAAAAATGTGAGTGGTGCAATGAGGTACATGTGGAGACAAAAAAAAAAAACATTATCAATGGAGGCAAAGAAGGGAACGTATGAAAATATAGTGATACCAACACTCTTACATGGGTGTGAAGCTTGGATTGTAAATGCTGCAGTGAGAAGGCGGTTGGAGGCAGTGGAGATGTCCTGTCTAAGGGCAATGTGTGGTGTAAATATTATGCAGAGAATTCAAAGTGTGGAAATTAGGAGAAGATAGGAGAAGGTGTGGAGTTAATAAATGTATTAGTCAGAGGACTGAAGAGGGGTTGTTGAGGTGGTTTGGTCATTTAGAGAGAATGGCTCAAAGCAGAATGACATGGAGAGAGTACAAATCTGTAGGGGAAGGAAGGCGGGGTAGGGGTTGTCCTCAAAAAGGTTGGAGGGAGAGGGTAAAAGAGGTTTTTGTGGGCGAGGGGCTTGGACTTCCAGCAAACGTGCATGAGCCTGTCAGATAGAAGTGAATGGAGACAAATAGCTTTTGGAACCTGACAAGCTGTTGGAGTGTGAGCAGGGTAATAATTAGTGAAGGGATTCAGGGAAACCGGTTATTTTTATATAGCCGGACTTGAGTTCTGGAAATGGGAAGGTCAATGCCTGCACTTTAAAGGAGGGGTTTGGGATACTGGCAGTTTGGAGGGATGTGTAATAGGACAGTACATATATAATTGGGGCCCTGATATTATATTCTATGTGGTAAATAGTAAAGTTTTTTATATTATTTCAGGTCAAATTTTATATTCTAAATTATATATACTTCTAAGCTGTTGTATCTGGGCACCTCTGAAAAAACAGTGATTATGTATGAGTGAGGTGAAAGTGTTGAATGATGATTTAAGTATTTTCGTTTTGGGGATTTTCTTTCTTTTTGGGTCACCCTGCCTAGGTGGGAGATGGCCAACTTGTTGAAAAAAAAAAAAAATATACAGTAGGGCCCCGCTTTATGGCGTTTTGCCTCATGGCGTTCCGTTAATACGGCGGTGTCAACTTATGACCAAAATTTGCTATACGACAAGCACATCTTTTATGTCAGGAAACTTTCCAAAATTTCAAGTGTTTTAAAGTTACTGCATATTTTATATGTACATACTCTGATAATTATACTTATGTGTACCTGTACCTAAATATACTTACACACTGTGCTGGTGTGCAGGTACACATTAAAATTGCTAAGAGTGTCTCTACTCATGATGCCAATACTACGTAATAATAATCACTCTTGGGCACACTATATGTCTTATTTTACATTAATATAGGCAATTTCATTAATCCATCTATGATATTTTCCTCAAAATTATATATGAAACCTGTTACATAGCATATAAACATGATACATACACTCACAGACTAAAAATTGACGTAAATATGAGATTTGTTTACAAAGCGGCTGTGTAGGTAGTGTAGGAAGAATTACGTTTTCTCTAGTCAAACTGGGGGATAACTGTAGAAAAATATTCTTTTTGTATGCCTTCACTCTATATATAGCAATTCATGACCCTTGTGGGTTTAGTGCTTTTTATCATAATAATAATGATAATACTGTAATAATAATAATAATAAAAAAAAAAAAAAAAAAAAAAAAAAATAAAAAAAAAAAAAAAAAAAAAAAAAAAATAATAATATCTTCATTCACTCTAAAAATCGTGTGTTGCTGTTTGTTTATTCTGAACTAACTTGTACACAATGTAAGAGTACTTGTATTGTGAGGTAATTATTATTAAAATAAAAAAATATTGAGTAAATGTTTTACAAATTCTTACAAATGGACATGAATGAACTAAAAGTAGACACATATTAATACGCATTTATTTCGCCTGACCAAGTGATCGTCCACTACCTGTTCAGTTTGTGTTCTTACATTGTCTCAACTCTGTATCTCGTTCTCTCTCTCGTTTACTCTTTCGTTAACTAGTTGGCTCTCATTGATGATGTCATCTAAGGTTAGCTGTGATAAAAAGAGAAGTCGTAAGCCTCTTGCTTTAAGTGCCAAGTTAGAGGATGATGGTGTGCCATTCTGATTTTATTCAATAAACACCCTGCCACTCACCTCTCACACATTAATATTAATATTTTAAGGTAAGTAATAAGTGTACTCTGTGTGTATCTTACCTTTATTGTGTTTTTAATACCTATTTCTATTGCTAACCTAATATAAGTTAGTGTAAATTTGTTGTCTGGCATTTATTGCATATTTTATGTGCTCTGTTAAAAATAATTGTGGAGCTGTGTGGTAGCCGGGTGGAGGGACAACATTACGTTTTCTCTGCTCAGCCACAGAGAAAACGTGTATGAATCTGTGTTTGGCCCAGCCACTCCCCCACTCCGCTTTTGTTTACAATTTTCGGCATGAATTATTCATTACTTCTACCTTCGTTTATGATGGCATCTAAAGGTAGTTGTTAGGAAAGATTAAATTCAGTGAACACGGTATGTCGATGTTAAGGTGATCATCACAAAGTATGAAACTGGAGAGTGTGTCTCCGAGCTGGTCATCGCTACTATCTTGGCCAACAGAAAAGCAATCAAGGAAGCTGTTGTTGTGAAAGGTGCAAGTATGTTTTCAATACACAGATCGCAAGTAGTTGAAGATGTTGAGAGACTGTTATTGGTGTGGATAAACGAAAAACAGATATCAGGAGTTAGCATCTCTGAAGTGACCATATGTGAAAAGGCAAGGCAGTTGCATTATGATTTAATTAAATAAATGCCTTCAACTAGTGGTGATGTGAGTGAATTTAAGGCCAGCAAAGGTTGGTTTGAGAGATTTAAGAATCATAGTGGCATACACAGTGTGATAAGACATGGTGAGGCTGCCAATTCGGACCAAAAAGGGGCTGAATTTTTTTTTTTTTAACAAGTTGGTCATCTCCCACAGAGGCAGGGTGACCCAAAAAGAAAAAATCCCCAAAAAGAAAATACTTTCATCATCATTCAACACTTTCACCACACTCACACATAATCACTGTTTTTGCAGAGGTGCTCAGAATACAACAGTTTAGAAGTATATACGTGTAAAGATACACAACATAGCCCTCAAAACTGCCAATATCCCAAACCCCTCCTTTAAAGTGCAGGCATTGTACTTCTCATTTCCAGGACTCAAGTCCGGTTATAGAAAATAACCAGTTTCCCTGAATCCATTCACTAAATATTACCCTGCTCACACTCCAACAGCTCGTCAGGTCCCAAATACCATTCGTCTCCATTCACTCCTATCTAACACGCTCACACACGCTTGCTGGAAGTCCAAGCCCCTCGCCAACAAAACCTCCTTTACCCCCTCCCTCCAACCTTTTCAAGGACGACCCCTACCCCACCTTTCTTCCCCTACAGATTTATACACTCTCCATGTCATTCTACTTTGATCCATTCTCTCTAAATGACCAAACCACGTCAACAACCCCTCTTCAGCCCTCTGACTAACATTTTTATTAACTCCACACCTTCTCCCAATTTCCACACTCCAAATTTTCTGCATAATATTTACACCACACACCTTAGACAGGACATCTCCACTGCCTCCAACCGCCGCCTCACTGCAGCATTTACAACCCAAGCTTCACACCCATACAAGAGTGTTGGCTGAAAAATATGCGAAGGAATTCAAGGAGTACACAGAGGCTGAAGGACTGAAACCCCAACAAGTGTTTAATTGTGACGAAACAGGCCTGTTTTGGAAGAAAATGCCAAACAGGACCTACATTACACAGGAGGAAAAAGCACTCCCAGGACACAAGCCTATGTAAGACAGGCTAACCTCACTGTTGTGTAGTTATGCTAGTGGGGATTGCAAAGTGAAGCCTCTACTCGTGTATTACTCTGAAGCTCCCAGTGTTTTCAGGAAAAAAACAATGTCCTCAAGGCTAATTTGTGTGTGATGTGGAGGGCAAACAGTAAGGCATGGGTCACTAGGGACTTTTTCTATGACTGGTTTCACCATGTGTTTGGCCCCACTGTGAAAAATTACCTCCTGGAAAATAAATTGGACCTTAAATGCCTTCTGGTATTAGACAATGCTCCTGGTCATCCTTCAGACCTGGCAGAGTGAATTTTGGGGGACTTGAGTTTCATAAAAGTGAGGTTTTTGCCTCCTAATACCACTCCTCTCCTGCAGCCCATGGGCCAGCAGGTCATTTCAAACTTCAAAAAACTACACAAAAGTTATGTTTCA